AGGAGAAAAATGACTACAAGCACAAAAAAGGGCAGCATGGTATGAAAATTATGACCAGGTTATAGAGGGGAAAGAGAAAACGAGAACAAAGGCTAGCCACTGGAAGCCTGCTGCTCTCTCCCTTTGTACAATGCAGTTTTGCACTTTGGGTAAGTTTCTACAAGTATTTTTTGAGACTGGATTCTGCAGCTTGTGGTGTGGGTACAGGGTGGGACTTAGACCACATCTTGTGGCTCTTATAAACTTACTGGCACAAATAGAAAGGTGCCCAAAAATACTGGGGGCTGCATTTTCAGATGAGGGTGTTCTTTTACATGCCTCCTTGCCTCTGAACAGAGGTAGGATGGCTTGCTTTATTGGAGACCGAGGAAAGCATTTTCTTTTTTTCTTTTTTTTTTTAAAGGAAGCGTGAGGAGAGGCAGAAGCAGGCTTATAAGAAAGAAGTGACAGGATTCATAATGTTCATGAAGCCAAAAGCTGAGAGATTAGACAAAAGACAACTATCAAGAGGTATATTCTTGTGATTACTGAAACTGAGACTGCAAAGTTCTTCTTAAGTGAATTATGATTTACTGGATAACAGATATAGAAAGATTTCCCTACTACCACCTGTAAAACTGCATTGGTTTTTATCAAATAGCTCCTGTTGAGCCCATCTAGTTGATGAACATTCTTATCAACTAGCAAATATAAATGACTTATGGGGATAATATTTCAATCTAGAAGGACATTGCTATATCTCGGATTCTTTTAAGATCTGGGTTATTAAATATTAAATATCAAAGCTGTAAATTATTGTAGCAGCTTTATACAACTAAATTAAATTCAAACAAAACCTAATTTCCTTAATCATTGACTGTAATCCTCCAGGAACATATGCTATTAACTCAGCTACAAATGGCACAGAAATTGTATGACTTCAGTTAAGTTATTTTATATCAAATTCTAATCCAGGACAGAGTCCTCAGTAAATCTCCTGCAGGGATTTTAATGCTTCTACAATCATATTGGCTCTTTACTGGAGAGCTAATCTTTTTATACTCTGTTTTTTCACTCCTTTATCCATTTCCTTCACACCCTTACTGAGCTATAGCTAGTACCTTCTATCACATACCATGTTTTGAAAGATTTGGCTTTTCCCTCTTGCATTTGATCAGCAAGAGTCAGGCTTTCACTTATGCCAGAATCGGATGAATTTTTTGTTTGTTTGTTTCACATGTAAAACTGAATCATTCCCATTCATTTCAACATGCATGTTAATTGCCACTTGTTGTGATCTCTTTATAACGCTGTCATAATTATTCACAGTTTGCAGTCAAGCATTCAAAAAACAGAACAATTTCCTCCTCTAAGAACCTTATTGGAAGTAAAATTAAGCAGATTTAATTTAAGCAAGAAACTTCCTCAGAGACTCAAGGCAACGATCAGATAAAAGAAATAAACCTTGGAGCCCTAGGAGGTAAGAGTTGGAGAAACCTCCAGAGATGATCTAGTCAGCCCTCTGCCCCACAGTGTGATCAACTAAACTGCTGTCATTCCTGACAGATGTTTCCTAATCCTGTGCTTAAAAGCCTGTGACAATGGAGATTCGACATCGCTCTGTGCAATCTATTTCAGTGCTTCACTGTCCTTCCTAGCAAGATATGTCCCCAGATATCTAATTGCAATCTTTCTTGCTGTTTAAGCCTTTTACTTCCTTCCCTTTGCTTTGGGACTGGGAAACGGGCAATTCCTAGCCTCCCTGCAGTAGTTTCCTGAACATTTGGCCACTTCTATCTCTCCTCAGTTTTTCTTCTCTAGACTGAATCACAGCACCCCCTTTTTCTTTCCTCAGTAGTCTTGTTCTTCTCTGGACACTCTATCCCATCAGTTCTCTCTTGGAATTTTGCCTTAAGCTTGGATCCAACCAACACTACCAACCTACCACACACATAAACTCTGCTGCTTTCATTCCAGGTGAAACTAGAAACTTTAGAAAGTCTCTATTCTACTAGGTCAGGGCAAAAGTCCACCTATTCCACTGTCTGCCTCCAGCAGCAGACCTAGCTCCATGCTCAGGGCAAGAGTACAAGAACAAGGTAAACGCAAAGTTTCCCCCTTAAGCACTCTCTAGCCCACAATCAATTAGCCTTACAAAGTTTCAAATTAGTAGAAACCATGAAAATAACAGAAATGGTGGAACACTAGTATTTTTAACATCATAAGAAAACACCGACTAATTCTGTAAGCTTTTGTGCAGTAGTCAGTGCTGTCCCATGCTACAGCGTACATCTGTACTCATGCTGGAACTTCAGTGAGTTCATCAGCTCCTCCTGCACAGACTTCTCACATCCTGAGGGCTTCTGTGCCACCTGACCATGCACTGACCCAGCCGTTCCCTGGCAGACTTCCTGTTCACAATGGGTTTTCAACACATATCAGACACTTTAGTTGGTGTGCTTTTGCCAATTGTCCCTCACACTCCTTCAGCCAGCCTTATCATGTTTGTACATTTAACTTGCCAGAGTTTATCATTTTTTCAGTTTTCTTCATCTGGACACTGCTTCAGCTTTTTGTGGGATGCCTTCTTGCTCCTGCAGTCTCACTTACCCTGCCAATGCTGGCTTCTTTTCACTCTTTCTCAAGTTTTTTTTCTTGATACAGAGTTATTTTCTCTGCACTTCCCATGTGATTTATGGAAGCAATATCCATACTCCCTACAAAGAGTTAGGTCTTCCATCTGTCTTACTTTCAACAAGCTTCCTGATCTGTGTCTAGTTTTCCTTTTTGAAGCCGAGCGCAGCAATGATAGAGAACTCTGGCTTGTCTTAGTCCTGTGAGGATGCTGAGTCTAAGCATATAAGAACCTCATTTCAGGGCAGCTCTTCAGCTGTTACTTTCTACATCATATCCTGTAAACCACTCAGGATTAAAGTCAAGCATTGCCCTGGTTCCTGAACCAGCTACTCCACAAAACAGCTACTGAGGCACCTAAAAACGTACTCTGTCAAGTCCGGATGCAATTTTTGCCTCTTCTAGACTGAACAGCTGAAGCCATCCATATTGACTTACTTCATCCCTCTACTCAGCCTGTTGTGTTGCCATCATGGTCCACTGGTCAGCTAGGTCAATATTAGTCAATATTATATATTCTTCCTACTTAAGTTTGGAACTTCCACCAGTGTGAAGTCTGAATTGTTCATTGATGAGATGATTACCTTGTTAAGCACTTGAGCTCCAAAGTGTCTTTAACATGCAGAACTACTAGCTATCAGCAAAGCTCACCGCATCCTTCCTGAATACATGATATCATGGGAACGTCCCACTGATCATCTTTCCGAGTTTGACATCTGCACTGTTAGGATCTCCACGAACAATTAGACATACCAGTTCCCCCATGTCATTTCTTAGACATCAAACACTCCCACAGAGGAGTATCTTGTTTAAACAATCTCTCAATTCTGTCTGTTCCCTGTTGAGCTAGGTTTGACCTTAACACCAACGGAAGGGCTGTGAACCAACAGCACTCAAGGCATGATAGGACAGGGTGGCTGTTGGCATGGGATTATCAGTAGTAAGCCCTTGACTTGAATTAATTTTCCTCTGAGTGTTAGGAACTTAATTTTGATGCTTCAAAAAGGCACGCTGCACAATCCATTTATTTACTCAGACATTTCCTGAGGGAGCAATCTACACTGTGCAATGGCCTTTTGTTTTTCTTTTTTTTTCTGGGCAGGGTTATTTTTAAGTATCTTCTCCCTCATCTCCCCCCACCCTCAAGGCCAGCACCAGCTTCATTGGTTCATAGGGAAACAGGCTTGCTTTTGCAGTGAGGAAAACTTGAATCTTAGCAATTGAGGACAAACACCTTCTTACAAAGGTCACAACTCTTAGAAGAATATCTTCTTGTGTTTAAAGTAGAACAGGGTATTTAAAATTAAATCAGCTAGTAAGTTAGGACCTTTGGAGCACCACAGTAGGTTACATGGACTTGATTCTCCATTTATATTTTACAACAGCATATCTCAAGTTAAGTGTTTTGGCAGTAGATGAACACCAAACTAGAGCAACATACTGAAAATTTTGATCAAGAAGAAATTTCTCTTTGGTTACCCAAGTGTAAATTCAAATAAAATTTATACTCATTATGAGAAACATCAGAGCAATTTTTAAACATACTCTGTATGTTATAAACTATTCCCACAGAAGATACTAAAGGTCAATCTAGAGGTAACTGACCTAACAGTCAATCTTCTGTGTGGTTTTTGTGTCTGTCCCTATGGGCCTATTTGGTATCATTAGTGTTAACGCAGATTTCATCCTTATTTCTGGAGTTCCACACTGGGGCTCCTTCTTAGTCCTGAAGCAGGCTGTAAGTTATTCAATATGGTAGTTTGACTAATTTTCTGTACTGGTTAGCTTTTCTAACTTCTGTTGCTTTTTAACCCTGTTGCACACAGGGATTGCAATATTGAACTAAGTACATGTTTTCTGCTTTCTGTATTGCAATGTTAAATGAACAATTTTCAAAGCTCCCAAATATGAATTATATCTTTCAGGGGGAGGGGAGAGGAAAGAGGGTTTTGCAGTCTCAGTAACACGGTGGAGCCCTTAGCAAGGAAGATTCAAATTAATAATGCTTCCTATGTGTTGTCTCTTTGCTAGGAATCTACAAGATGAGAGCAGCCAGCGGGGCTAGCAGGGAGATGGTAACTCTGTGAGATGGAAACATCCCTGCCAGTTACTCCTTGAGCAGATGCTAGAGGGGACAGAAGGAAATCCTTCACGCCCCTGGCTTACCGTGGTCAGAGCTGTACTGAGCATTGCAAATCGCTGTAGCCTGGAAGCATGAGCTTTTTTTTTTTTTTTCTTCCCTTTAAAAAGTTTTCAGGAAGTCTGGGGGAGGGGCAATGCTGTTTCTTTTTTGTTATAATGGGCCCCTTTGTGGAGATGGAAGAGGAGAAGAGATCTGTGTGCCTGTGGTGCACACGCTTCCCAGTGATTCTCTGGGAAACTTCCCAGGGCTCCTAAAAAGTGCTGGGCCCCTGCGGTGCGGGGCAAAGGGGAGGGGGGCTGGTCCAGGATGGAGCTGATGGTGCTGCTCAATGCTCTGGTTACTCGCCTGCTCTTTGTGTTGCACTCTCTCATCGGGGTCTGGAGAGTGACTGCTGTGAAGAAAGAACCCAAGTACTGGCTGCTGGCACTGCTCAATCTTCTCCTGTGCCTGGAGACAGGGCTCACCCTCAAGTTTAAGCAAGGCAGAGGCTACAAATGGTGAGCATATCCCGCCGGCTCCGACGGAGCCCCTCTTGCTTCTTTGCATGTACTTTGCTGCAGATGTGAGGCTGCCTTCTGCGGCTGCTGCCTGAGAGCAGTACTGCTCTCAGGCTGTGTTGCTGCCAAGCTTTCAGGGATGGTGTTTTCTCCCCTGCTGCACCTGGGGGTGGGGGGTGGAAAATTGGTAAAGCCCTGGCTAGTCCATTGCCAAATCCAGAGGGCTTTCAGGAAGGGCAGTTTGCAGCAGACCACTTGGGAGCCACTCTCTGTACAGTTCTGTGCGTACGCGTCCGTACTAACAGCTGAATAACGTGGGAAATGTAGCTGCAGGCGAGAGGTACGTGCTCTGGAGCTGCCGATCCAGCGGGCTGGGGAAGCAGGGGGCACACGCTCCCTCACACCTCTCAGCATCGCTGGGCACCTCCTAAGCAACAATATGTCAGGGACCACACGTGTGAGGTACGGAAGAGAGC